GATTGCTCTCTTTAAATATCTGAAAGGCTGTCATGTGGAGGAGGGCAAGGAGCTGTTCCAGTTGGCAGCAGAGGATAGGACCCGAAGCAACGGGTTTAAATTACATGCAGAAAGGCATCGGCTGGATATTAGGAAAAACTTTCCCATGGCCAGGGTGGCTCAAAGGTGGAATCAGCTGCCTTGGGAGATGTGGTTAGTGCCCCTTCACTGGCAGCTTTCGAGAAGAGGCTGGAGGAATATTTGTCAGAGATGCTTTAGGCTGGTCCTGCACTGGGCAGGGGGTTGAACGAGACGGTCTCTATGGACCCTTCCAACTCTATGGCTCTATAAGTGGGGAATCAAACCCGGTTCTCCCAGATTAGAGTCTGCGCTCCTAACCACTACACCAAACTGGGTAGCCAGAGATGCCCTGCTCACTCGTTGTATATATATATATTTACTTTACTTGCAGCATCAGCCTTGGCCTTATCTCCTGGTGACTGGTGCGGACTTTGATTTCCTCCTGGCCACTACTAAAGACAGGATGCTGGATTTGGGGGGGCCCTGGCTCCAATCCTGCTCTTATCAGATGTGATCGGGATAGACGGCAGTCTTCCCCCAAGCCCTTGGAACAGAAAGGAAGCACAAAGACACTCCCATCCAAGCCCTGGAGGGGCACCGGCCAGCCCACAGGGGCGGCAGCACCTCCGCCAGGCCCCAGAGTGCCCCCCCCCCGTGGCCGGCCGAATGTCCCTGGCTGGAGGGGAGGGACCCATCTGGACAAACCAGCAGAACAGGGAGATCCTTCCCCCCCACTCTTCGGCTCCGCTGGCTCTCGGCTTTACAACCACGGCATTTTTCTCCCTGCCCAGCAGCTGCGGCTGCTTCTGAGGCCTTCTGGAAGTTTATGCGTTACTTATATTTATTTCATAGAATCATCATAGAATGTTAGAGTTGGAACTGGGACCTTGCAGGTCATCTAGTCCAACCCCCCGCACTCTGCAGGAGCAGAGCCAAAAGAGAGCCCCGCAACATGCCCGAAAGAGGGTCATCCAGCCTCCTCTTGAAAACGTCCAGCGAAGGAGCATCCACCCCCTCCCGAGGCAGTCTGTTCCACTGCTCAACCACTCTGACAATTAGGAAGTTTCCCCTGATATTTAGCCAGTAGCGACTCCCTTGTTATTTCCACCCATTAGATCTAGTCTTGCAATCCGGAGCAAGAATCATAGAATGTTAGAGTTGAAAGGGACCTTGCAGGTCATCTAGTCCAACCCCCTGCACTCTGCAGGAGCATAGCTGAAAGATAGCCCTATATACCTACAACATAACTGAGAGATGGTCGTCCAGCCTCCGCTTCAAAACATAAAAAAGAGTGAATAGATCTGCTCCATCTTCTACATGGCAGCCCTTCAGATACTTGAAGACTGTCATCATGTCCCCACTAAGCCTTCTCTTTCCCAGGCTAAACAGACCCAACTCTCTCAGCCTTTCCTCGTGAGACTTGGATTCCAACCCTCTCACCATCCTGTTTGCCCTCTTCTGGACATGTTCAAGCTTGTCAACATCCCTCCTCAAATGTGGTGCCCAAAAGTGGACACAGGACTCCAGGTGAGGCCTGAGTCCATAGCAGAATAGACCATAGCAGAATATTTATTAAATTTATACCCCTCCCTCCCAGCCACGGCCAGCTCAGGGCAGCTTACAAACAGCAATAAACAGCAATAAATAATATCAACGATCATAAAAACCATATAAACAATTCCAACATTAAAAGGTGCGAACAGATGGTCACCCAGATGCCAATTTAACATTACATTTGGAATGACGCTCAAACTTCAGTGCCTTCCTAGCGGTCAACCCCGATCTAAGAACATGCGGCTGGCTCAGTCTGCCTTGAGGACTACAGGGGACAGGCCTTTTACCCCGGGGCGGCTCCTAATTGAAAGCCTCGTGGAAGAGCTCCGTCTTGCAGGCCCTGCAGAACGACATAAGGTCCCACAGGGCCCGGATCTCCTCCGGGAGCTTGTTCCACCGGAGAGGAGTTGCCACCGAGAAAGCCCTGGCCCTAGTTGCAGCTAGCCTGGCATCCTTTGGTCTGGGGAGGGTCAGTCGGTGTTGAGACCCTGATCACAGTGCTCTCTGGGGAACCTTTGGGGAAAGGCGGTCCCTCGGGTATGTAGGCCCCCGGCCATAAAGGGCTTTAAAGCAGAAGAGGGGAACCACAGGCAACGGCGAGCGACGGAATGCCCCAAGCTCTGCCCAACGGCACCAGAAAGGGGCTCAAGATCTGTCCAGCTGTAGACACTGCCATGGGAAAGAGGAGGCACCTCTCTCGCCAAAGGGCCCGTGGGACACCTGTGGGGCTTGCGTCCAAGGAAAGGCCCTTGAGTGGCTGATGCCCCCCCCTCCAGGCCTGCTCCTGGGGCAGACCCCGGCCAAAGACACAGGCGTGCCAGCACCTCACGCAGGGCAGAGGCCTCCTGCGATCCAGAAACGCATCCGACAAGCTCCACAGACAGCCGACGCTTACCTTGGTGTGTAGCTTGGCAAACTGCTTGTCGTCCAGCAGGCTCTGGGTGTACACTCGCCTCTTGTACCGGAACTGGAGGAGGAAAGCCAAGGGGGAAACGGTCAACAGAACACCCTCGAGCACAGCACAGCCTCAGCCGCCAACCACTTATGTCTCCTGCACATTGATTTCCAACGGGCCGTCTAGTTTGGCCAGCGAAACCGCAGTGGAAAAGCTCCGTCTCATAAAAACCAAGAAGATCAAGCACTCAGTTAAAAGGGCCCATCTATGTTTTGAAGGGTCAAAAGCAGCCCACTCTGGCTTCACCCTGGCAGCCCCAAACCTCCCACAAGAAGGCGCTACAGCTCTGCAGCATCCGGACAAACACTTGTGTCAGGGATGCTCTAGGCCTACTAGGGTGGCCAAACTGTGGCTCTTTCACACATATTCTGTGGCTCCCGGCAGGGCGGCTGGGGAAGCAAAGGGGAGGTGTGCCTCCTCGATCAGTTTTCCCTTCCCCAGCCAGTGTTCCCCTCCCTGGGTAGGCTTGAGGTGGGGGGGGGAGCAGAGAAAGAAAGCAACTTTAACTTTAAATGCACTCTCAAACCCCACCACCACCGGCTGGCTCGGAGAAGGCATTTGTTCCTTTAAATCCCTTCTCCAAGCCAAGCCTGGGCCAGGGGAGGGCTTGGAGGATGAATTTAAAGTTAAAGTTGCTTTCTTTCCACCTCTTTTCATTCTTTCCCCCCATATCTGTTTTAACCCCTTTCGGTTTTATTCTTGGCAGTCTCGTTTAATGTTAATAAAAAGTAAATTTTCCAATAAAAATGTGTGTGTAATATTTGTTCATGCCTTGTGGCTCTCAAAGATCTGACATTTAATCTATGTGGCCCCTTATGTTAAGCAAGTTGGGCCACCCCTGCTCTAGGCTGGTCCTGCACTGAGCAGGGGGTGGGAGTGGGTGGCCCGTGTGGCCCCTTCCGACCCTGCGATTCTTATGATTCCAAATGGCCCCTGGCCTGGCCTGGCCAAATTCCAGGAGCAGGAGTTCATGGGCACAAGCCAGGCCCCACAAATGCCTTCCCAGGCCCCCCTGCAGGACCCACGGTGACAGGCACAGGGGAAGCGGCAGCAGGGCTGGCCCATCCATTAGGAACAACTAAGTGATCGCCTAGGGCACCTGGAGGTGGAGGGGCACCCGAGCAAGTCCTGTTGTTACGCCACCCATATCAGTGGACAGCCCGTGGTGCATCAGCTCCTTTCCTTCCTTCTCTGTCAGGAGGCAGGGCCGCAGGTAGCGTGGAGGCGGGACCCTTTTGCATCAAAATCCACCCCTTTTCGGAACAAGACATTGGATGTATACCCCATGGCCCTTCACTACCCAAAGGAAACTCAGAGCGGCTTACCATCTCCTTTCCCTTCCTCTCCCCACAGCAGACACCCTGTGAGGTCGGTGGGGCTGAGAGAGCTCTCTCGAGAACTGCCACTGAGAGAACAGCTCTGAGAGGACTTGTGACGGACCCAAGGTCACACCAGCAGCTGTATGTGGAGGAGTGGGGAATCAAACCCCAGTTCTCCCAGATTAGAGTCCGTGCCCCTAACCACTACAGAGCCAGTTTGGTGTAGTGGTTAAGTGTCCGGATTCTAATCTGGGAGATCCAGGTTTGATTCCCCACTCCTCCACTCGCAGCTGCTGGATGACCTTGGGCAAGCCATAGTTCTGTCAGAGGTGTTCTTGAAAAGAACAGTTTCTTTCAGGGCTCTCTCAGCCCCACCGACCTCACAGGGCGTCTTTCTATTGTGGGGATGGGAAGGGAAAGGAGATGGTAAGCCGCTCTGAGACTCTGAGTGAAGGGTGGGGTATAAATCCAATCTCTTCTTCTTCTTCTACACCAAACTGGCAATCCACAGCCCAGACTGCAGTGAGGGGTGTGTGAGCAGAGACGGCTTTCTCACGGGGCAGGGAGAAGGAGAAGCAGGTGCTGTGCAGGCACTGTGCCCTATCCATGCCCCTCTCCACAAGCACGCCTGCACGCACCCACACCCACTCTGGTCCTGCTCCTCTCCCACAGTGCCTTCACCTTCCTCGCTTAGCTCCATGGTGAATCGTCCTTTCGTGGCAGGGCACCTAAAGAACTGCGTCAAACGGAAGCAGTGACAAAGGATAACATTTCAGAATTAACTGGAACAATTATGACGGAACAGGCCATTGAAGCTGCCTGGCCTTCACCCTTCAGTTTGTAAAGAACTCCAATGGGAACCTGTGGATCTTTTAGCTAAATATAGTTGAGTCTTCTTCCCGAAGATCTGCAAGGCAGTTCCCTTCAAAAAGGTTACTGCAGAGCTGGAAAAGGGCAACTAAGAGGAAGCACCTTCCCTCTAAGGAAAGGCCAAAGGGTCAGGGACTTCTCCCTTTAGAAAAGAGATGACTTTTTTGGGGGGGAGGACATGGCATAGAGACAGCAGATGGAGAGAACTTTTTCTCCGTCTCCTGAAATACTAGTAAAGGTAAAGGTTTCCTTTGCTCGAAAGCCAGGCAAATCTGACTCTAGGGGGCGGTGCTCATCTCCGTTTCCAAGCCGAAGAGCCAGCGCTGTTCGAAGACATTTCCGTGGTTCTGTGACCGGCATAACGAAACACCAAGGCACACGGAACGCTGTTACCTTCCCACTGAAGTGGTAGTTATCCACTTGCAATTTCTTACTTTCAAACTGCTAGGTTGGCAGGAGCTAGGCCAGAGACGGGAACTCACTCTGTCACGCGGCACTCGGGTCTCAAACTGCCGACCCACAGACCTTCCGGTCTGCCGCTCAGCATCTTAACCTCTGAGCCACCGCAGCCACTGAAAATACCTGAAATACTACTGCCACGGAATAGCGTGGGCCGTGCAGGTTGGCCACAGTCAGAACAGCCCTTCTGGGGGCCTCTCCTTCCCCACACACACCCCTCTTCACCCCCTGCCCCCTTTAGGCCCGGAGCAGGCAAGGGCCTTAACTAACTGGCACCACTCTGGTTCTGGGGCTTTACTGACTGGGGGGAGCCCAGGGTACCCTCCCTGCCCCAGGCAACCCCTTGGTAGTCAGAGAGCATCCTGATTTGAGGCTTGAAGAGCCCAGGAAGACTCAACAAGAAACAGTCGATGAAGCAAACACTTTAACAAGTAAACAGGAGAAACGCTACAAAAAATGGGGCAGAATGAACAAGGGCAAAACTCACAGAGAGAAAAGCCAGCCAGAAAGCAACAAAGCTCCCTGAAGCAACCATTGCATTGTATGACCCCAGTTGGAGGGTTATCAGCAGGGGTCATTTCCTGCGGGAGCCCACAGGAGCGGAGCTCCAGCAGTAAGGAGCCCAGGGGGCGGGCACATGCAACAAGCCCCACCCCCTGCTCCCAGCAGCCCTCAGTCAGGCCACAAGGAGCAAGAAGCAGCCAGGTAAGTTGCAGGGCCCCACCCCTCGGCCCTGCCTCTGTGAGGGCAGATCTGTGCGTCCCCCCCCCCAGCAATCCAAAACAGTCCAGTGGAGCCTGAGTGGTGGGTGTTGCCTTCAGACACACTTCCGGTGATGTCAGGGGGCGTGGCATATGCAAATGAGTTATGCTAATGAGTTATGCTAATGAGCTCCTGCACCTCTTTTTCTATGAAATGACCCCTGGTTACCAGCAATACTTCCTCTAAGCCGTGGAATCTTGTGAGCAAAAATTCTACTTCGTGAGCTACTGACATTAAGGTTGTGAGCAAGCATTTTGGCCACGGCACAAATTAGTTTGCCCTGGAGCCATCCTTCCGGAGCTAAGACAAAAATGTGTGAGCCGGAGGCTAAAAAACTGTGAGCTAGCTCACACTAACTCAGCTTAGAGGGAACACTGGTTCCCCCCCACACACCGGCCACCGGTGGGGGATGGGGTGACCGGGTTGCCAGCTCCAGGTTGGGGAATTCCTGGAGATTTTGGGGTGGAGCTTGGGGAGGACAGGGACCCCAGCGGGGTCCAGTGTCTTAGAGTCCACCCTCTAAAGCAGCCATTCTTTCCAAGGGCTCCGTAGTCTGGAGATGAGCCATGATTCCAGGGGGGATCCCCAGGTCCCTCCTGGAGGCTGGCACCCCTATGCGGTAGGGGTGCTCCACCCTGGACAAGGGATCAACTCCACCTAAAAGCAGGCTCCCCACCCCTCAACTTGCCCTCTCTGCGCAGGGCCTTATATACTCTCTGCCAGAGCTCCGCCTCCTCCACAGCCATTGGCTCCTGCTTTTCCCTCCATTTCCCCCCTGTCCAATCCTGAGGCCTGCAGGGTGCTGAGGGAACGTAGGCCTGCGGCCTGGAGTTTTCACCTGAGGCCTAGGGCCTTGAGGCCTACAGGCCGCTCCCCCCTCAGCCTCAGGCCGAGGACCATCATCACAACTAGAGTCCGGGGGCACCCAGGGAAGCTGAGGGGGCAGGAGATTCCGGACAGACAAAAAGAAATATTTCTTGAAACCACGAGTAATTCAAATGTGGAACTCACTGCCACAGGATGCTCTGAGGCCTACTAACTACTTAGGACCTGACTGGATGGGAGCGGTTTCACTGGACCTCCGTGTCGGGCTGCCAGGTCGAACCTGGCTGCTGGCTGGGGGGGGGCCTCCAGGGCCCGTCCCGGGATCTTCTGGCGTGCGCAAAGTGATGTCATCACATCGCCAATGTTAGGGGGGGTGATGCTCTAGTTTTTGGACAAAACTCTATGGTTGGAGCCCAATTTTACCATAGAGTTTTGCCCGAAAACTAGAGCATCACCCCCTGACGGCAATGGGATGACATCACTTCCGGGTTTCATCATCACGTCACATTTGGGGGCATTTGCGGGTGGGGTTCCCCCACGCTGGCCTGCTGGCTGGTGATGGAAAGGGGCCTGCAAAAGCGGGGGAACCCTTGCCCAGACCGGGGGCCTGGCGACCCTACCTCCGTGTCTGCCCAAGATGGGCCCTGCAGACCAGACTGGGGTATGCAGGGAGAGGGGGCTCAAGCCGCCCCCTCATCCTTGGCTCAGGCTTAGGGTTAGCCGTCCATCTAGTTCACCATCCTGTTCCACACAGAGGCCAACCCTTGGCCCCAGAGGGCCCACAAACAGGACACGGAAGCTGAGGCCTTCCCTCGAGACGGCCTCCTAGCCCTGGGATCCAGAGGCAGACTGCCTCTGAATAGGGAGGTTCTCAGGGTGTGCCCTTTTCCTAGCCTGAAATGGTGCAAGGGGGCTACTGTTCGCCCTGCAGGGGGACATTACGTGTCGCCACCCGTTTCTTCTGATATTTGTTTGACTCTGAGGCACCGGCCCTTCCATGGCCACCGTCGGGTTGCCCTCCTTAGGAAAAGGAAAAAAAGGCAAATTTTCTTGCAACAGAAGCACCTTCTCCCCCTTTGAGACTCACAGTTAGGGGTGCCAACCTCCAGCTGAGATCTCCCGCTATGAAGAAGACGGGGAGGAGATTGGATTTATACCCCATGGCCTGTCACTACCCAAGGGAGTCTCAGAGCGGCTGACAAACTCCCATCCCTTCCCCTCCCCACAACAGACAGACACCCTGTGAGGGGGGTGGGGCTGCTGAGAGAGCTCTCTCTCAAGGACTGCTCCTGAGAGAACTTGTGACTGACCCAAGGTCACACTGGCAGCTGCAGGTGGAGGAGTGGGGAATCAAACCCGGTTCTCCCAGATTAGAGTCCGCGCACTTAGCCACGACACCAAACTGGCTCTACACCAGGTTGATCAACCAAACTACAGAGATCAGTTCCACTGGAGAAAACGGCTGCTTTGGAGGGGGGGCTGGATGGCATTATAGCCGGCTGATGGCCCTCCCCTTCCCAAACCCCACCCTCTCCAGGGTCCACCCCCCCAAAAAATCCCCAGGTATATCCCCCAACCCAGAGCTGCCCCCACCCAGTCAGAGTCTAGCAAGGGCCTTACACCCGTAGTCCAACCTGCGGGCAACGGCGCCCGCGACAGAGAGAAGCATGTGGGGAGGAGGGTACCAAAGTGGAGCAGGTGCGAATGCGTACCTCCAGGTAAGAGACTGGCGTGTCCGGGTTCAGGGGGTATTCCCTCAGCAGCCGCTCCTCGTCCAGAAATTTCCCCGCCCTGCCGTTGAAGGCCGGCTGGAAGAGGCCATAATTCAGCACGTCCTTCAGGCTGTGGTTCAGGGTGCAGAGGATCCGTTGCTTGGAGACCCAGATGGGGACATCGGGATTCAGCCGCAAACACTTCTGTGGAGGGGAGGAAGACAGGCAGGTGGCGGGGTGAGTGCAGAGGCAGGCCCACCCCCTTCTTTCCCCACGGCCACGCAAGTTTCCACCACCCACCCCTCCGAGGCCGCTGGCAAATGTGGCATAGCCCCACTGGGCACGTGCAAGCAGCCCGGAGTTCTGCCCCAAGGACCCACGGAAGAAAGCCGAGACTGGACTGCCATGTCGGTAGCAGTGGGATACTAAAGCAGAGCAAGTGAATCCAAACAGCCTTTGTGGAGATGGCAGCAGCGAGGGACCCGGGCAGGGTAGCCGTGTCCATAGAGGGAAGCATGCCACTGGTCACGCCCAAGACGACTGGCCCTGCAGCTCTGCCCATACTTCAGAGGGGCGCTTGGCTGGGTCTGCTCTGGGCTGTCTGTGGTCCCCCGGAAACTCTCCCCAAAAGCTCAACAGACTGCCTGCCTGTGGAGGGAGGGGGAACAGAAAATCTGATGCAGGGGAATGGAGCTGGTCCCGGGTGGCGTGGGCCGCCAGGAAGTGGGGTATGGAGCCTCAAGATCTCTCCCATTGGTGGAAGGAGGGGATAAGGCTCAGCGTGTGCTTGTGTGGGTTCCTGGACACCCACCAGTTCATTCCAGGTTCAGCAAAGATAAGAACAGAAGAGAGGCCAATGCTGAATCAGGCCAGTGGCCCGTCCAGTCCCACACAAGTGGATTTTGCCATTTCACACCATAGAATCCAGTTGCAATGTGCATTGAAAGTGGATTGAAAGCGTGTTATTTAGGTGTGTGAAAGAGCCCTCTGTCACACAGTGGCCAAAAATGCCAAGTGCCCTCAGGAGGTCCACCAGCAGGGCCAGAACTCCAGAAGCCCTCCCACTGTTACCCCCCC